TCTGCCGTTCTTAATTCACTCCCTTGTGAAACTCCTTTACCCCTTGAGTCCTTTCTCTTCTCTTAAACATAAACGTGTACCACTCTCCTTCTTTCTCTTCTCTCGTTTATTTTGGTGGCATCGCATCTTAAACCTACATTTCCATTTGGCTCTAGTTTCATAGTCTGTGCTATAGTCAAGATACCTACTACCAGTTTTCTGCAACTTTCACCAACACTCTACCCAAAATAGAACTGATAATCTTTCATAGTCTCTACAGTTGACCCTTGAACAGTCCAAGTTTGAACTGTATGGGTCCTCTTATAAGCCTATTTTTTTTAAAAATAAATGCATACCACAGTACTACACAACCTGTGGTTGTGTTACAGGGAAGAACTGACTCCATGTTGGATCTATTTTTTTTACTTTAACCCTTAACTTTTCTTCTGGTTGCTTTTGTTTACTAAAAGGACACTATTTATATAAAACCAATGGGAAGCAAAGATTCAATAACTGTATCCTTTTTGTTCATTAAAAAGATACTGTTTATCCTGCCTCCAGCCCTCTGCCTGAGTATTAATCCAAAGTACTTTAGTTCAGGACCCTGTCCACCTGTGGATGGCAGGAAGGAAGAAGTTAACACATCTCCTCCCTGAGACTATACCAGAAGATATTTGCAGGATTAAAGGCTTCCTCACCTCCCCTATCTCTGTTCTATAAAAGAACTTGGCATTCAGACCCAGATAAGCTGGCTATTTTGAGACAGTAGTCCTCCGTCTTCTCGGTCACCAGTTTTCCAAATAAAGTTGTGCTCCTTGCCGCAGCACCTAGTTTCTCCATTAACTGGCCTGTTTCATGGCCATCAGATCAAGTTTGGACTCAGTGACCGTTGTTTGAACGTGCAGTTGTGGAACCATGGATGCCGACTGTGGAGTTAGCTCCAAATTCTCAACTCTGTGGAGGGGTTGGGCCCTAACTCCCACCCCCACCCCCATTGCTTAAGATTGTACTTGCCACCTCTCCTGACTTCCTCTTTCCTTTAAAAGGCACTTCATCTGCTCAGCCACTTGAGCTGGAAACCACAGCTTTATCTCTGGTTCTGTCCTTTCCCTTTTCTTGCATATCCAGTCAGTAAGTTCACAATGTGTGTGTGTGCGTGCACGCACACCACACACTCAGTTATGTCCAACTCTTTCAGATTCCATGGACTATAGTCTGCCAGGCTCCTCTGTCCACGGAATTTTCTAGCAAGAATACTGGATTGGGTTGCCATTTCTTTCTCCAGGGGATCTTCCCAACCCAGGGATGGAACCCTCAAGTTTTGGGTCTCCTGTATGGACAGGTGGATTCTTTACTACTGCACCACCTGGGAAGCCCCCACAGTAAGGTAATGTTCTAAAATAATCTGATGGATTCACAAAATGACTCTCTGCATCTCCTCTGGTGCATTAGGTAGATTGGTGTTTGTTACAAGTTATAGTAAAGAAATTCCAGGCACAGTGTTCTCTTAGGGAAAGGAATATCTACACTGTTGCTAAGGCAGGTTGTGAATTGTAAAGCAGACCTGGAATCCTGGTCCTTCTAAAGCTACTAAGTAGTGCAGAAAGAAACTTCCACTCTTATTTTTGTAGAATGTATTCCAGTTGAGGGAAAGAAAACATTACAATGTTGGTAGGGACGGCAGATACCTAACTAGGCATATACCTGTTGAGTTTTTTTCATCTACAATAATATCTGATGGTGTCAGTCACCTCAAATTCTTGTGTTTGTGTGCATAGATTTAGGAATCTCTTCAATGCCTTGGATCTGAAAGACAGTGTGTTCTCTGGAGATTGGGTTATCCCCTGATTGGATTGTCCACTCTCTTCCCCTATTAAAGGAAAATCAGAGACAGAAGTTAGTGGACTTTCCAGTGAGCCACAGGCTGACTGCATCTCAGGAGTGGTCAGAGGACAGCTCTTGAAATTGGGGGATCCTGCACAGACCAGATTTCCAAGCTGGCCTTATCTGGTGAGCATGGAATCGATACTGATGGCAAAACAATACACATCTACATTTACATTTTCTAAAATCTCTTTATTTTAGCCAACAGTAGCTTTTAAAATGAAAAGTTACCTTACTGAAAGTTATTTCTTTGGTGTTAGTAATAAGAAATATTCAAGGTTTTGTATAGGTTTTTGTATGAAGCTTTCTTGGGATAATTAGCCAGATTAAAAAAAAAAAAACAAGATCACTATGAAGGAGAAGCAGTATTTGTCAGAACTCTGAGTTTTTTCATTTACAATAGTATCTGACTGTGTCAATAGCCTCAAATTCTTGTGTTTTGTGGGCACAGATTTAGGAATGTCTCCAATACCTTGGATCTGAGAGGGCGAGTCCACTGATTGGGTTATCCACTGATTGGGTTGTCCACTATTTGGGTTGTCCACTGATTGGGTTGTCCACCTTCTTCCCCTATAAAAGGCGAGGCAGAGGCAGAAGTCAGACTTTCCATTGAGGCACTGGCTGTCTGCACCTCAGGAGTGGTCAGTGGACAGCTCTTAGAACTGGGGGAAACTGCATTGACCAGATTTCCAAGCCAGTCTCTCCTGGTGAGTGTGGAATCCATACTGATGTCCATCTATATACTTTTGCCTTTGTACAACCTTTAATTAAGCAAATAGTAGCTCTTAAAATGTTGCCTTACTGAAAGTTATTTCTTTGGTGTTAGTATTAAGAAATATTCAAGGTTTTATATAGGTTTGCGTATGAAGTTTTCTTGGGATAATTAGCCAGATTTTTTTTTCTAAACAAAATCACTATGAAGTAGAGGTAGTATTTTCCTGGGCTCTGTTTAAATAGTTCTCTCTGAAAAATGTTTTAGCCACAAGTTTATTTTTATTGGTTTTTATTTTTCTTTCTTTTAAAATTCAGCTCTCTGATTGCTGCTCCATCCCAGAGTTTCTGATTCATCACATCTGGGAGCGAGGCCTGAGACTCTCCATTTCTAGTAAGTCCCCAGGTGCTGCTGCTGCTCTAAGGACACACTCTGAGAACCACTGGTGCACCTGATCACAGTCTAAGCATGTATTCTGAGAACCACTGGTCTAGCTTGTCCCTGGTTGGGTGGGGAAGCTTTCTGAGACTTGACGGGAGGGTCTTTAATATAGGCAGAGGCCTGGATGACTCCGTAGCAAGAATGGGTTCATACTGCCCAAAATTGGGTTTCAGATTTCTTTCTCTTCCTATTAATAGTGCTTCTAATGTGGGCTGAGGAGGCAGTGCTCCCATGAAAGGAAATAAGATTGCTTTCTGAACTAGCTGAGCTACAAAGACTAGATTGTCCTATTTGTAAGATGGAAGAAGAGAGAATGTTCCAGGCCATCTATTGGATACATCAGCACAGGTTCTGCCCTTCATGGTTTACTTTCCCTTGTGGTGGCCATGAGCTGCAAGGAAGACAGTAAAGATTGGACATCCATGGGCCCTGGTGATAAGGGGAGGTGCAAGGACTTGGGGTAAGGATTATGTCTGTGACTTGCCTATATCACTCACAGCAAGGTCAAGGTGACTTTTAAGTTATTTTACAGTGTCCTATTTACTTTTTTCTCATTGTTTCTCTACCTGAGATATCCTCTGAAGCTATGTCTAACTTTATCTCATTTCTCTTCCAAATTAATCCATTACCTTTGTGTATTTTGATGTTCCTATAATTCTTTGTTTAATGTCAATTGCTTCCCAGGTGGTGCTAGTGGTAGAGAACCCGCCTGCCCATGCATGAGGCTTAAGCGACACGGGTTCAATCCCTGGGTCTGGGAGATCCCCTGGAGTGGGGCATGGCAATCCACTCCAGTAGTCTTGCCTGGAAAATTTCATGGACAGAGGAGCCTGGCGGGCTACAGTCCATAAGGTTGCAAAGAGTTGGACACCACTGAAGCGACTTAGCACGCAGGCAATGTCTACTGCACGGCAGCCACCAGGGAAGCTCAATTTGTACATTTAATGCTGTCTAAAAAAACCTGGAAACTGCTTTGATGTTGGGATAAAATAATCAAGTACATCACTGGCTCTTGTATTTCTGGGAATATTTAGTTAACAATAAAATGTTTTGTAAAAAATTCAACTCTCTGATCCATATGTGTCATCAAGTTAAACGGCTATGGCTGGTCGCTCAGTCGTGTCCGACTCTTGGCGACCCCATGGACTGTGGCCCGCCAGGCTCCTCTGTCCATGGGATTCTCAAGGCAAGAATACTGGAGTGGATTGCCATTCCCTTTTCCAGAGGATCTTCCCGACCAAGGGATCGAACCCGGGTCTCCTGCATTGTAGACAGATTCTTTACCATCTGAGCTACAGGGTTGCCCTTCCCCAATATCTTCATCAATAACTGTCATTTTTTCTTTCTTCTTACTTGTCTTCCTCCATATCTCCCTCTTTCTCTGTCGCTGTGATGGCCTTATTGATGATCACAACACTCTATTGTACTTCACACTGTAGGAAACAGCCTTTAATCTATTAACCCCTTTCTCTCCTGAGGCTGAGGAGTGCGGAGGCGAGATGACTCCGTCTCCCATCCCACGCAAAGAGCGCTCTGAGGAGCAGTCCGTGGATCGCTGTAGAGATACAGGCGCCACCCAGCAGTCCGGCGAGAAGGACCGAAGCAGGGATAAAGCTTGGAAGCGGCGCAGGGCCTCGGGCGGTAGCAGCAGCTCGGGGGCGCGGTCCCGCGCGGGCTCCAGCCGCGGCTCCAGCTCGCCCTCAGCATCCGGCCGCTCAGGACGCTCCAGTGGGTCCCGCAGCTCCAGCTCCAGCAGCTCCCCCGGCTCTCCAAGGCCTTGGCGCCCCCGAGACCACAGGCGGCGGTCCGGTTCCAAACCCAAACCACCTGGACGAGACGAGAAGAAAAGCAGAAGGCGCAGCCCCGCCCCTAAGCCCACCAAAGTGCACGTCGCGAGGCTCACCCGGAAGGTGACCAGGGAGCACATCCGGGAGTATTTTCCACCTTCGGGAGAGTTAGAGAGATCGACCTGCCCAGAGGAAGGATGCGCGCGCATCCGTCTCAAGGCCACGCCTACGTGGAGTTCGAGAATCCGGAAGAGGCTGTGAAGGCGCTCAAGCACATGGACCGAGGGCAAATCGACGGCCGGCGGATCACAGCCACAGCCGTGCTGACCCCCCCGGCCCCAGCCACCCCCAGGCGACTGAGCCCTCCCCGGAGAATGCTGCCACCGCTCTCCACGTGGCGCAGGCTGAGGAGGAGCAGGTCGCGTTCCCCTTGGGGCAGGTCCCCCGAGCGCCGGCTACCCCGCTACCCCCGCCGCCCCCGTCACTGGAGCGGCCCAAGCTCCAGCTCCTTGCGAAGGTGAGGGCAGCAGTCGACACATGTCCCCGAGCAGCAGAGCTCCAGCTGCAGGGGTGTTGCTGGTTTGGGGCTGTGCTTGTAAAGGTGCCCTCCAGTGTTCTGGCTGGAAAACTTCCCAGTTTCTATAGTTCTTGGGAGTCATGTAGCTGGCAAAGCCAGCAGGGATGAGCAGGGGGCTTCAGACGGACAGACAGCCCCGGCCTGGGAGCACGTTTTGCCATGTCCCAGACGACCTGGGCCGATCCGGTGGCCTGGTCCTGCCCTAACCTGTTGGCCGGCAGAGTCCAGCAGTGATGTCATCCCTGTTAGCCTGGCCCTGCACCCCTGCTTGGGTCCTCTTCTGACCTCTAGGGTCAAGTACCCCGTGTTATGGGCCCCCCCCCACCCCTCCCTTTCTCTGAAATTGGTAAGTTTCAAGCCAGCCCTGCTGGGTCATGAGGGAACAACCCCGAGCCAGGGCAGTTGTGTGCTATTCATTGCCCTGCAGGTTTCCTCAAAAGTGTACATTGCTTTTTTGGCTTTTATTGTACAGTCAGGACTATGCATTTTCTGTTTTGGGTTTTGTAACTTTGTAGCTTTTTAGATAATGTTGTGGTTGTTCTTTGTTGTATAAAGTAATTGCTTTGGATGAACCAAGGATTAGAGTTAAAAAAAAAAAACTTTTATCAGGATTCAAATAAATTGGGGTGATGACTTTATTCAGTGAAATTCTGAATTATGGATCTTAGTCCACAACTTGGCATGTAATAGGTGCTCTGTAAACATGAGGATCAAGTGATTTTCGTTCCAAACTGAGGAATATTGGGTGTTGAAAGGGGTGGTGTTAGTAATTATGGCAGGGCAACAGGATTAAGATATTTTTATTTTCTCCCTCTAAAAACACCCTCTGAAACAGAAATGATGGCTTTTAAAAGAATGTGTGCACTGATTAGGTTTACATTTTAAGTAGATTTCTATGATTAAAGTCTTAAATGGATTGGAGAAGGCAATGGCAACCCACTCTAGTACTCTTGCATCTTGAGCCCCTTCTAAGGGCAAAATGAGTAAGTATATATGCCAGGGTAAATCACTAGAGTCCACATTGCTCTTCCCTTTATTGGGTATCCAACTCAGTGAGAGAATTAACATAAAATGAAGAGATGGTAATACATATACAGTTCACAATTGGAAGACTAAAAGAGAAAATGCAATATTTGATGTCTGGGTATGGAAAACTCACTCTGTTCAAATAATATTTTGCAGGAAGATGGAAAAGTACTCAGGATTGATTCAAGGGCAGCAGGAGCTGAGAGGCCATGGCAGCATTCCCCGGTCACGGTGGAAGTGCTCCTAGAGGTATTCTCCTGGGGCAGCACAGGTTCTTACCACAGGGCTGGGACATGTCCAGTCTGCATTCATCTCTGAGATCTCTCTCATCTCCCTCAGCTAGAGAAAATCTGACTGAAGCAACCCAGTCTGATGGAGAAAACCGAGAAATCCGTTGCTTTGAAGAGGCAAAAGAGAGAAGCCGAACAAATTAATAAACTCTTTATTGGTGTTTTGAACTTTGAAACCGCAGAAGAAAGTCGGAGGAACTGTTACCAGTGGGGAGAACTTACAGACTGTGTGGTCCTGAGGGATCCTTCCAGCCAAAGATCAAGGCAGTGCGGTTTTATCACCTTTTCATCCATGACTGAGGTGGATGAAATGTCCACTGGATCCCATTCCGTTGACGGCAGAGTGCTTGAACCCAAACATGTGTCCCAAGAGCAGCATCTGGACAGTGGGGTGTCCTTTGGACACTGAAGAAGCTGTTTGTTGGTATTCAACAACATACTGAGGAACATCATCTTAGAGATTACTTTGAGAAATATGGAAAAATGGTACCGTTGAGATCATTACTGATAGGCAGTCTGGCAAGAAAAGAGGCTTTGGATTTGTGACTTTTGATGACCTTGATTCTGTGGACAAGACTGTGTTGCCAAAAAACCATACCATCAGTGGTCATCATGTAGAAGTCGCAAAGGCTTTGTTAACATGGGAACTGCAGCAAGTCTAAGGTTCTAGAAGTGGAGGAGGAGGCCCCTTTGGTTTGGGGGTTTATCCTGGTGGTGGTAGCGATTTGGGACTAGCATCAGGATGAGAAAGTAACTTCTGGGGAGGACCTGATGCATATGGAAATGGTCCTAGATTTAGGGGTGCTTATCACGGGGCTGGAGAAGGGAGAGACAGAGGGTCTGTCTGGCAGATGTGCTGAAAGCCCCACATCTGGCAACCATGATTGGGGCTGCAGAGGTGGTCATGGCAACTATGGAGGAGGAAATTGTAGAAGTGGAATTAACAATGACTTTGGAAATTATCAGCAGCAATCTAATTACAGTCGATGAGGAATGGAAACTTTGGTAGCAGGAACTTGAGGGCTCAATATGGTGAAGGAAACTCTGCTCCAGGAGGCAGTGGGGGATGTGGGGGTTGGGAGGGCGAAGCCGAAACTGAGCTTCTTCCTCTTTGCCCTGGGCTTCACTATCTAAATAGCAGAGGATGAGAGCCCAGACATAACTGGGCATCTTCAGGTTATGAGTAAACATGCAGGGATGTGGCAGAAAACAGAGAGCAGGTGCAGAGAGCCATTTGTGAATGAATTGAATTATTTAAGAACATTGCCTTCCTGCAGAGGAAAAACTATGGAAAATGCCTTTGAGGCAGTTTCTTAGCTTAACTGTTTTTTTCTAGTGATCTTTGTCAGAGTGTAGAAGCATCACATCTTTGATAATGTTAAATTTTGTTTAACATTAAACATTTTGTTAAATGTTTGTAAATTGTTAATGTTTCTTTGTAAAATGTTACATTTTAAAAAGTCTTTTGCAAGATTTTTCTGTTTTTGAAAAGCTTTTAGAAGTATGCTGTAATGAAACATATTAATAACATTATTCCTTAAATTTAACATGTAGAATTATCATATGAAGCAGTTGTACATTTATGATTTAATAAAATAATTCTAAAGGAAAAAAAGCACTTATGCTTTGTCCTCTTTCACCTATACTCTTTTGCACTTTTAATTTTTATCTTTTTTAACAGTTTTTTTCTAATTTCATATCATTGACATACAGTACTATATACAGTTTTCTTTCGATGGAAGAGTTATACAATTCCATTATTCCAGGTAATTTTTAAAGTTTAAAATTGCTGCTACTGTATATGTTTGAAGTATGTATATGTACTTACATACTGTATATGTATGTTTGCTACTGTATATGTATGTGACATCTATATCATGAAATGATTACCACAGTGATTTTGGTTAACATAATACTGGAGAGGGTAGCCATGCTCTCCTCCAGGGGATCTTCCCAACCCAGGGATCAAACCCGGGCCTCCCACATTGCAGGCAGATTCTTTACCATCTGAACCACCAGGGAAGCCCTTTATTTAACATTCATCATCTCAAAATGTTTTGGTTTTTTTAAGTCTTTTTTTGGTGTGATGAGAGTCTTAGGATTTATTCTCTGAACACATTTCTTCAGCACCGTAGTGAACAGCAACATTAACTGCAGTCATCATGTTACTCATTACCTCTTTTGCATCTTTTTTTAAAGCTGAGAATTTGTACCTTTCAACAACCTTTCTCCTATTTCTCCTTCCATGAATTCTCTGCTTCTGTAAACCAGATGTGATTTCTTTTTCTATGGGTTCATTTTGAGTATTTGGATTCTTTCTTTTTTAGATTTTTTTTTATTGAAGTATTTGCTTGTTCTTAGTCGCTCAGTCGTGTCTGACTCTTTGCGACCCCATGGACTGTAGCCTGCCAGGCTCTTCTATTCATGGGGAATTCTCCAGGCAAGAACACTGGAGTGGGTTGCTATTTCCTTCTCCAGGGGATCTTCCCAACCCAGGGATCAAACCCAAGTCTCCTGCATTGCTGCCGGATTCTTTACCATCTGAGCCACCGGGGAAGCCCTTTTGAAGTATAGTTGATGAATAATATTGTATAACTTGAAGATAATACAGTAGAGTGATTCACAATTTTTAAAGTTATACTCTATAAAGTATTGGTCATAGTCCCTGTTGGTACAATGTATTCTTGTAGCTTATTTTGTACATCAAATTGTAACTGCTCACTGCTCAAAAGTCAATAAAGAGGCGCAGTTGGAAGAAGGGAAAGTTTGCTTTATTTTGGATGCCAGCACCCGGGCTCAGGGGATGGGGGCAGGATGGACGCCTATCCAAAGGCTGATCAGCCCAGATAGCTGGCTCATTATTATTTCTGGGTGTGTTCTTGAGGATGTTTCTGGAACAGATCAGCATTTGATTCCATAGACTAAGTGAAGTGACCCACTCTCCTCAGGGTAGGTGGGTGTTATTCAATCTGCTGAGGGCCGCATGGAAAAACAGGTGAAGGAAGGTGAATCCACTCTCTCTTCCTGAGTGGGAATGTCCATCTTTTCCTTCCTTGGACTCAGAGCTCCTGGTTCTCAGGCCTTTGGACTTGGATTGAAATTTACCATTGACTTTTAAAAGATATTTACTTATTTATTTAATGGGCTGTGTCAGGTCTTAGTCTTAGTTGCGGGATGCGGGATCTTTTGTTGTGGCACAGACTCTCTAATTCTGGTTCAGGGGCTCATTTGCTTCACAAGATGTGGGATCTTAGTTCCCTGACTAGGGGTTCAATCCACATCCCCTGCATTTTGAGGCAGATTCTTAACCCCTGGACCACCAGGGAAGTCCCACCCCTGACTTTTCTGCTTCTCCACGTTGCAAATAGCAGATTGTGGGATTTCTCACTGTTATAACCATGTGGGTGAATTCCTAAATACCTCCCCTCTTCCGTGGACTTTATGTACTATTGGTTCCGTTTCTCTAGAGAACTTTGACTGATACACAGTATTAAATTTCAAAGAAAATGCACCTGGAGGAACTTTTCAATGCCTAAGAGCCTCTCTCACAGACAGCCCCTCCCCCAGGCAGCCCAAGTACACGAACACACACTAAAACATTTAAAAATGAAGAGACACACATGCTGAAACTAACTCTAATACATACACTCTCTCTCTACTACTATATTACAAGTTATAAATTCTTTGCTCTACTTATTATCTCTTTCCTCTCATGAAGATTAAGTCAAACAGGGCAGTGAATCTGTTATATTTTGGGATCACAGGTATTATACCACTGCTTTGCACATAGTAGATTCTTTGCAAATAGGGTGACCAAAGAATTTTCTCTCCAAGTTGGAACACACTGGGGAATAAAGAGGGTAGTGTTAATCATTAGGACAGGGCAACAGGATAAATATCTGCTGAAGACAAAAATGAAGGCCTGCCCAGTTAAAGTACGTGATTAGATTTGCATTTAAAACAGGTCATCAGGTTACAATGATGACCTATATGGGAGAAGAACCTAACAAAGAGTGGATATGTATACATGTATAACTGATTTGGTTTGCTGTACCACAGAAAGTAACACAAAATTGTATACCAACTACACTCCAATAAATTAAAAAAAAACTGATTCATTTTGCTTTACAGAAGACAGAAACATTCACACACAAAACAGATCATAGTGATGAGAAGAAAGACTTACTGTATGTATAGCACAGGGAACCCTGCTCAGTGTTATGCGGGAGCCTGGATGGGAGGGAGTTTGGGGGAGAATGGATACGTGTATATGTATGGCTTAGTCCCTTTGCTGTGCACCTTGAACTATCACAATATTGTTAATCGGCAATACAAAATAAAGTTTAAAACATTAAAAATAAAAAGAAGTGAACACAAACACATTGGCATAATAAACCTTGTGATGTAGTTACTGGGGGTAGGGGAAGAGCTTATGGTGGGGGAGAGTTCAGAAAAAAATAGATACCACAGAAAGTAACACACACACAAAACAGGTGATAGTGATTAGAATCTAATGATTGGATTATAAGGACAAAGGATGTAGAATCTAAGCTGTCACTGCTAATTTATTGCAATTTGTCACTCAAAAGATGACATCTTTGCATAAATGTAGTTAAGTGAATGGATTTTCAGTGTTTCAGTATTTAAAGTTCAGTGTTTGAATAGTTTATTACATAAATTGGTCTGGATTTGGCACTGGATAATGACCTTCACCTTTCTGTATTTGTCTCATGCGGGCTTCATGATGTGCCAGAATCCCCTTCTCAATGTGTGGTGCTGTACATCCCTGGGAAGTTCTTAGAAATGAAAATTCTCCATCCCCACTCCAGACCTTAGGATAAAATAATTTAACAGAATCTGTATTAACCTAAGGCTTCCCTGGTGGCTCAGCGTTGAAGAATTCACCTGCAATGCAGGAGATGCAAGTTCAATCCCTGGCTTGGGAAGATCCCCTGGAGGAGGGCATGGCAACTCACTCCAGTATCCTTGCCTGGAAAATCCCGTGGACAGAGGAGCCTGGTGGACTACAGTCCATAGGGTCACAAAAAGTTGGACACAACTGAAGTGACTGAGCATGCATGCGTGCATATTATCCTAAGATAACATAAGAAGAGGAATGAACTTAGTTCCTGTTAACTGGATGTGGGGAGTAAAATTATTATTATATTGGAATACTGAGGAGAGGGTGAGTGGGTCTCCCCATTCCCTTCACATTTAATAATAGATAAAATATAATAAAATTAATTTTTAAAAATTAAATATGCTTATATAATCATTCAAAACCATCCTTTAATTCTTTTGACTTTTTCATTTTTTTAACAATGTTGTGATGGTTTCAGGCGCACAGCAGAGCAAATCAGCCATACATATACATGTATCCCTTCTTGTGGGAGGGCTTCCTAGTGGCTTCGAGAAGATTCCCTGGAGAAGGAATAACAGCCACTCCAGTATACTTGCATGGAGAATCCTGTGGACAGAGGAGCCTGCCAAGCTACATTCTCCATGATCACGAAGAGTCTGACATGACTGAATTGACTGAGCGCACTTGCATGTATATTAACCTAAGCTAAAATAATTTAACAGAACATAAGAGGAAAGAAATTAGTTTCTGTTAACTGGATGTGGGGAGTTATATATTAATAATAATAAACTATTATTATTAATATCTTGGAATACTGAGTCAAAGATGAGTCGCTCCATCCCTTTCATGTTTAGTAATTAATAGATAAGGTACAATAAATAAAATTAATTAAAAAATTTGTATGTGCTTACATAATACTTCAAAACCATCCTTTTTTTTAAAAAAACTTTTTATTTTTTATTGGAGTATAGCTGATTAACAATGCTGTGATAATTTCACGAGCACAGCAGAGTGACTCAGCCATACATATACATGTATCCCTTCTCGTGGGAGGACTTCCTGGTGGCTTCCGGAAGAGCCCCTGGAGAAGGGAATGACAACCCGCTCCAGTCTTCTTGCCTGGAGAATCCTGTAGATGGAGGAGGCTGGCGGTCTACAATCTACGGGATCACAAAGAGTCGGACAGGACTGAGCAACTAACACACACACACACACACACACACACACACACACACTTCTTGTGGAGTAAATTACGTCCAGGTATAGATATAGGTGGGAGGGGGGCAGGTCTCGTCCTGACCATTCTCCATGCTCACCCTTAAATGTAATGCTCCCAGGTGGCCCCAAACCCAGACAGCCCTCCCTACATGGTGACCTCACACTGCTTCATTTCCCAGACCCCAGGACTGGCAGATAAGAACCAGGCATAAACATGGCTCCACCTCCTGTTCCCTAAAGGGCCAAGTGCCTGGTACCTACTGGATCCGAAAGGGTCATGTGACACCCCAGGACAAAAGGGAGTTGGAATATGCAGATTAGTTCACACTGAAGATTTGGAATCTGCCTTAGAACGTCTGGGGAGGCTTCAGACCCACATCAAAGCTCTGGGCTCTAGGAGGGACTTATTACTAAGTTAAAACCAGAGCCTGTTGTCAGGAGGCATAACTGCTCACCTCTATTCACTGTTTTCCTGTTTCTGTTACTCAGTGTGTTTTGGTCGCTTCAGTTGTGTCTGACTCTTTGTGACCCCATGGACTGTAGCTTGCCAGGCTCCTCTGTCCGTGGAATTCTCCAGGCAAGAACAGTTGCCACTCCTCTCTCCAGGGGATTTTCTGGACCCAGGGATTGAACCGGGGTCTCTGTGTTGCAGGTGGATTATTTATGGTCTGAGCCACATCAACCTTCCCTCTCCACCACTGATAAAACAACTTTATAAAAATTGTACAAGGAAGTTCAGAAAACGTCATTCTTTTCCTTCCTGATACTGTCCCCCTGGGACTTCTGTAGCATGACACCTTTATTCCACCTTCTATGGGTTTGGTGGAAAGAATTATCATGTTTATTGAATGAAGTGTTTATAAGTAAAAATGAATTGTTTATTGAATAAGCAATGATGTCATTCTTGACTACTTACAAATGATGATGTACCTAACCCTGTTGGGTGGACAAGTTTCAGGGACTCTGGACCGATTTCTGGGTCAGGGCAACAAGCTTGCTAGCAAGTCATTTTCAGAAGAAAATGTTTCCAAAGAACGTGTTCCTTCTTAAGAATCAAAGGTCAAAAATAATTTTTCAAAATACCCACTTAGGATGTCCATGTGGTCCAGTGGTTAAAATCCACCTGCCAATGCAGGGGACAGGTCTGGGAAGATTTCACATGCTGTAGAGCAACTAAGCCCCAGTACCAGAACCACTGAAATCATGCATTTAGAGCCCATGCTCTGCAACAAGAGAAATCACTGGAATGAGAAACCCATGCACTGCAACCAGAGAGTAGCCCCTGCTCGCCACAACTAGAGAAAGCCAAAAGGCAGCAATGGAAGACCCAGTGCCCCAGAACAGCTAAAAAGAAAGTAAACAAATAACATTAAAAAAAAAAATCACATTCTTTAAAAAAATACCCACTTAAGATTTAGGTAACAGACAAGGATGTAATACATAGCATAATTACTAATTGATTTACATTAAAATATCTCTCTGATTTAACATTTGGCACAAGAATGACCAAAAAAAGGAGGCAACTCATGTTAAAACAAGAAGTAAAAGCCAGCTTAATCATATTTTATAGCATTAATTTTTAATATTAGAAAATAACCTCTTTAGAATAGATTATTTCTTGTTTAAGTGAATTAATGCAAGAAAATATGACTAAAAACACTAAATAATTCCCCAGGCTAGATTACCTCTGTAGAATTCAGTAAAGAAATTCTGACATACAGAAATTGAGGTGTACAAAGATACGCAAAAATCTTTTCTCTTGTCACATGAAACCCAATCTCTACCATTAAAGAAAAATTATACTTTTCGTTTTTGTCCACCAAGACTTTTAACAGAGTACAAAGTTAATGTAAGAAAACATCGTAGTCCAGAAGCAGGGTTGACAGTAAAAGCAGCAAGTAGAATGGAGGGCTGTAGCCCCCCACACCCCACCATGAACCACTTCCCAGGGACCACAGCACTCAACTTTCTCAGGACCATCGTCTCCTATTTTTCCTTCAGTTCTCAGGAACATTTTTTCTGGTTCCTGGCTCTCTCTGCCTCCCTGGTAAGCCTGTCTGCCCTCAAGGCCATACTCAATCTCTCCCTTGCTCTCTTCACTTTCCGAGACTGTCGACGAATATCTGCATCTTTTACTGGTTGTCTGCAGAGGGCGTGTGGGAGAAAGAGCCCCAACCTTGGGTTCAGCTCTGCCCCATCTGAAGACTGGGCAAGGATGGGCTCAGGGCTAGTGTGCAGAGACCACGCACCAGCACGGCCCAGGGATTCACCGGCACCACGCTGAGCAATGATCCCGGAAACGTTTGCGCTGTCCATGGTCCTGAAAGGTTCTCCTTCAGGGCTGTAGGCTTGGAGCCCCTGCAGTCTCTGGAATGCAAAGGCTTGCTGGGGCTTTTCCAGGGTCTCCTCGCATCGACGTCTTCTGACCACATTGCCAGGATGAGAGGTTATCCTTGTGACTGGCTTCTGGAAAATGCAGCTGGTCAGCCTCAGAGGAAGTAAACATCTGTCACGACGCCTCTGCTTCGCCTTGACTGAAAGCTCCTGTCTTCTCTTCTCCAGGTCTTCAGGCATCATATTTCTTCTGAGCCTCTTTGAAAACAAAATGAGATGTAAAATTTGAATAAAATGGGGGGTGAGACAACTGCCAGTTATGGAGAATGTTCTTAACACATTTGGATAACTCCCTGAAGAAATGGGGTCTCAAATTCCTCTGTGCATCACATTTATTCAGAAGGTTGATAGAACTCAGATTTCTGGATGCCAATGCAAGAAAGTCGGGGGTGGGGGCAAGAAACCAATACAATATTATAAAGTAATTAGCCTCCAATTAAAATAAATAAATTTATATAATAGAAAGAAAAGAAATTGCATTTCTAAGCATTCCTAACTCCTGCTAATGTTGCTAGTACAGACACCATACTGAATCCTGGGACATTAAGCAGATAGGAGTCAAAGACAGAAAACTGCAGATTTTCATTCTTAGAGGATCTTTTCCTCTTCCCATCTCTGTCACTGTCAATCACACACATGCTGGTGTCCTTGAATCCAACATCATCTGGACAAAGAGATCACAGGTTTCTTTGACTACCAAGACATTAAACTTTTTGATATATCTTTTTCACTTTGCTTTAAGACACACAGTCACCTGGTTTTCATTTTCCTTTAGTGCTTCATCTCCAATGAGATCAAGTGTCTCTCAACCCTCAGATACTTTGCTCTCAAACCCAAGTCCCGCCTTCACTCAAATATTCTCCTGCTCATAAAGTAACTTAGAAAAGACATTCTCTTCATCAGTTCAGTCACTCAGTCATGTCCGATACTCCATGACCCCATGAACTGCAGCACACTAGGCTTCCCTGTCCATCACCAACTTCTGGAGCTTGCTCAAATTCATGTCCATCGAGTGGGTAATGCCATCCAACCATCTCATTCTCTGTCGTCCCCTTCTCCCCATGCCTTCAGTCTTTCCCAGCATCAGGGTCTTTTCATAAAGTTCCTTTTTACCCCCTTCCTCCCCTCCTCCTACTCCTCTCTCTCCTATTTCACTTAGTGATCACTGCTGTTAGAAGTTGGTCCTGCTGTCACATTTGTTCTACATCTACACCTTCTTCCAGGCAATCTCATCCATTTCCCTGGCTTCAAATACTCTTCATGAACTAGAAATGTTCACAGATTCACTGATCTGGCTTCAACCCTGAAACTCAAATATCCATCTGCCTACCCACATCAGTGATAATATTGATGACTCAGCTCACAGTGACCAGGTCCCATGCTGAACCAATCACTTCTCCCAAATAATTCATCCTTATCTCAATGTCCCCTAAACTCACTAATTGGTACTAATATCTCATCTACCCTTGAATGGCATTCTGGATGCCCTACCACCCTATACTCTTATACCAATTAACCATCCATTTGACTTCCTGAATCCACTTGAAGATTCTCAACTTTTGAATTCTTGGCTACCTTTCATTTAATCTAAAAAATGTCATTTCCACAGAATGACCTTTCCTGATGCCATATCAAAATTTATCTCACATTGTTTCTGTTAATTTTTAAAAATGTTTGATTTATTTATGTGTAGTATTATCTACTTTTTGATTGCTTTTCTCACTAAGTTGGGTACTCAATGAAGAAAAGATAATGAGAAATTTCATAGTTCCATGGATATAGTCACCTATTGTTTTGGCTTTTCAAGGTGCTCAGATGTCTTATTTTTAGATATGCTATGCTGATTCCAAAAAACACTTTACAAATTTTTCTAACAAATTCACATGACTACAGTTGTAAAATAAATTAATCTCTTTTGTGCTAGAGTAAAATCAATTGTCACTGAGATTAAGACTCTTCACACTAATCTGTTTAAACTGTAAACCTCATTAGCCTACCTTTCCTTTTAAATCTCACATTTCTGTCTTCTGAAGATTTTTTAAAAAAGAAACCATAAAGCTCATTTTATTCCCATTGTTATTATTAGTGCTACTCCTTGCATTAGTCAAGATATAAAGGAATGTTTGATAGAAAAATGACTTGAACTGCCTATTTATACAACAGCCATTATATGCTGAGTTGTGTACTAAAACTCACAACTTGGAATTTAACTTAACCAAGTTATTGCCCTAGATTATTTCAATCTTATTGAGAGAAGAGGGCTATAGACTAAGAAATGTCTAGTAATAGTGTTAAGTGTAATTAAGTGCTATGGTAGGCAATAAGGTCCACAGAGAGACAGAGAGTGAAAGAGGAAGGAGGAAGAGAAGTAAGGAGGGAGAATAGGAAAAATAAATTAACTACAATGATGGATGACCAGATTGCAGAAGGTCTATTTGAAGCAGAGAACAGAAATTTAAAGAAAAAAAAAAGAGGAAAAAACCCCCAAACACTTTGTGGGCAAAGAATTGTCCACAGAGGAGAAAGATTTAGCTACTCTAGGGCTAAATGCTACTTTCGCTACCCAAGGATTTTGGTTAAAAAAAACCCATACTTTTCATTATCCCAGGAAAGCTTAATATACAAAACTATATAAAATCTTGAATATTTCTTAAGAAACATTAACACTTGGGAAATAACTTTCAATAAGGAATTTCCTTATTGAAATTCATCTAACTTAGATTTTACACGAGGAAAAAAAAAAGCATCTTAATAGACCCTCTTGCTGTCAATATGGATTCCACACTTACCAGAGGAGGCTGGCTTAGAAGTCTGTCCATTTCAGGTTTTTCCATCTTCTAAGAGCTTCCAGAGCTTCCTCTGACCACTCCCGAGATGCAGACAGATGCAGACAGCCTGTAGCTGGCTAGGAAGTACAGTATGATTCTCCTTTTTATAGGGTAAGAGAGTGGACAACCCAATCAGGGGACAATCCAATCCAGAGGACACACCCTATGTCTGAAATCATAGGGATTTCAGAGATAGAGTCTTGAGTCTTTATCCCCAAACACAAGAATTTGGGGCTATTGGTAATACTAGATTCTATTGAATAATACAAAATACTATATGAAAAATTAAACGCATTTGTGAATGGGGTGTTATTTTCACTTTCAACATTTTAATGTTTCTTTTTTAATGGATACCTTCTATAAAAATAGTTCTGGACATCTCCATAAGCTAAAATTTCCACACAGCTTATGTTTTCATAGAGAAAACTACAGATTGTTGAAATGTTTATCAATAAAAGAATGTTGAAAAAATCTGTTAACAAGTCTTTGAAGTCTATATTACACAGTCATTAATAAGAACTCAATGTTCTGTACATTTATATTTCACCTAATTACTGGTAAATCTGAGATATCCTGAGCCTTTGACCGAAACAGAAAGAGTCTCTTTACTCTCTTTGTTTCAGTGATGATGATTATTCCATTCTCCCTCTATAAACTTATTACTTGCAATCTTATACAAAACATGTGCAGTTACTTTAGTGGTCAAATTCTGAATCATTTATTTAATATAGGATAATACAGTTAATTGCTTTTATCACATCTCCAAATGCTAATACCTAAGAACACTTTCAGTTCCGTTTCAACATTCCTGATTTTTCTATTGCTTTTGTCATGCATCTTAATTCTACATGTGTTTTAATCTCCATGAGATAGTTCTAGAATTGCTTTATAAGACAAAATTCATTTTTATTTATTTCTAAATTATTCTTTCCTTTTACCTTCACTTCTTCCTGCATTCCTGGTTTTCAACCTGAGATTATTTTCCTTCGGACTTCATAACTCACTCTACTAGTCTGTCTAATTTAAGACTGCTAACAATGAAATGTTTCACTCTAAGTTTTTAAAATCATCTTTATTGGGGGCAATACTGATGCTGGGTATAGAATTCTGCCTTGATATGATTGTTGATCATTTTAAAAATGATGTTCTGTTGACCTCTACCTTATTTATGTTCAGGCATTCCCAGTTAGCATTTTCTTGCTTATTTAACCTTTGTATTCCCTAAAATCTTTAATATTAGCTCTGATTTTTAGACCACAGTAATAATGAGTCTCATTATTGTTTCCCATGCATTTTCTTTGCTTAAAGACCTTTGAATTAATTGCTTGTGTGGGTTAATGTCTTTCACCCATTTGTAATATGCTTTGTGTATATTTTCACTGTGTTATCAATTCCTCATCAGATTCCCTCTGCTCCCTGCTTCAATCCTATCCCACTTCTCTTTTAACTCTGTCCTGGAGTTTTTCAGTAAGTATTGTTTACACTGTGCTTTGTTGGAATATATACTCTTGAGCTGTCTTGCAGTTTTAACCCAGTCTTTTGCTGGAATCAACACCTTCATAATCATTTAAATGCTTAATTTCATTTCTAACAAAAATAAAATACATAGCTTTATTTTTATTTTATTATTTTATTTTTATCTTATTTTATTGTTTTTTTACATTTATTCATTTAATTGTTTGGCTGCATTAGGTTTTATTTTTATTTTATTTTATTGTTTTTTACATTTATTTATTCATTTAATTATTTGGCTGCATCAGGTCTTAGTTGCACTCTTGCCCCCTTCACTGTGGCCTGTGGGATCCTTGTTCCCTGGTCAGGGACCGAACCTCATCCCCTGTATTAGAAGGCAGATTCTTAAACACTGGACCACTTGGGAAGTCCCCATACCTTCATTTTTAAATAAAGATAGAGTAGTTTTACAATGGGGGGGGGGAATTATTCCTTTTGCTACAATTAAATTCAGATAATAAAAAATAGCAACTTCCATCATATGGATCTATATTAGAAGTCAAACCTCACCAAAATTCATCAGTAAGTCGGAGGGTGTGGAAAGTATGAGTGGGAAGAAATTTTGAGTTTCCTATATCTGATGTGTGTGTGTGCACTGAATCATGTCCCAGTCTTTGTGACTCCATGGACTGTACCCCTCCAGGCTCTTCTGTCCATGGAATTTTCCAGGCAAGACTACTGGAGTGGGTTGCTGATAGAGTATATCAAAACATTATGTAAACATAGAAATTCTGTCATGAAACAAAATCTAAAACTGCACTAGAAAGATGAATCAAATTCTAGGACAGAAAATCCATTAAAGAAGCTTAAAAATACTTTGTGTGAATCATTCTCACAATTGGAAACCTTATAAAATCTCTATGCAGATCAAATTTAACTTTTGAACTAGATGGGCTGTAATGTTAAAATCTGGATAAGGAAATAGCAATCCACTTCAGTATTCTTGCCTGGAGAATCCCATGAACAGAGCAGCCTGATAGGCTACAGCCCATAAGGTTGCAAAGAGTTGGACACAATGGATTGACTGAGCATGCATGCTTGCTAAGTGTGTGCTAAGTTGCTTCAGTTGTTTCCAACCCTTTTTGACCCTATGGACTGTATCCTGCCGGGCATCTCTGTCCATGGGATTCTCCAGGCAAGAATACTGGAGTGGGTTGCCATGCCCTCCTCCAGGGGATCTTCCCGACCCAGGGATCCAGCCCACATCTCCTTCGGCTCCTGCATTGCAGGCAGATCCTTTACTGCTGACCTACCAGAGTTCAGAAGGAAGAAAACAATGTGTTGTGCTTCATTCTGATGGGGGCTACATTTTGGAATGATAACATTAAATTTCCTTGGTTAAAGAAGAGAGTTAAAAAAAGTTTCGTCTATTTGTGTTGGCTTTCCTCATTGTGTGTTCTACCAAATTTAAAATTACATAGGACATGCTGTTCTATTTCTACTGGTGTTGGCTGGAGAAAACCTTGTGTATTCTCACGGAAGTTATTTCTAAACTGTTGTAGCTGTTCAATTGCCCAGTAATGTCTGACTCTTTGTGACCCCATGGACTGCAGTGCACCAGGCCTCCCTGTCCCTCACCATCTTCCAAAGTTTGCCCAAGTTATGTCCATTGCATCGGTGATGCCATCCAGCCATCTCATCCTCTAACACCCTCTTCTCCTTCTGCCCTTTCTATATAACATGTTATAAATTCTGTGTGCTTTTTATAACTCTTTCCCCTCAGTTAGATTAACATCAACAGGGCCAATCAGTTCAGTTCAGTCACTAAGTCATATCTGACTCTTTGTGACCCCATGGACAGCAGCACACCAGGCCTCCCTGTCCATCACCAACTCCTGGAGCTTGCTCAAACTCATGGGCATCAAGTTGGTGATGCCATCTCATCCATTGTTGTCCCCTTCTCCTTCTGCCTTGAATCTTTCCCAGCATCAGGGTCTTTTCCAGTGATTTGATTTTTCACATCAGGAGGCCAAAGTATTGGAACCTTAACTTCAGCATCAGTCCTTCCAATGACTATTTGGCACTGATTTTCTTTAGAATTGACTGGTTTGATTTCCTTGCAGTCCAAGGGACTCTCAAGAGTCTTCTCCAACAAAAGCATTAATTCTTCAGCGGTCAACTTTCTTTATAGTCCACCTCTCACATCTGTACATGACTACTGGAAAAGCCATAGCTTTGTCTAGTTGAAACTTTGTCAACAAAGTAATGACAACAGGGGCAATATGTCTGTTTATTTCTGGATCACAGATTTTCCTTCAGAGTTTGCACATAATGTATGCTCTATAAAATGGGAGATAAAATAATTTTCCCTCTCAACTGGGACATATTGGGGAATGAAAAGGGAAGTACAGTATTAATTATGATAGGGCAACAGGATAAATATCTGCTGAAGACAGAACTGAAGAATTAAAAATAAGGTGATAGGGACTTCCCTGGTGGTTTTTGTGGTTAAAGAATCCATGCTTCCAATGCAGGGAGTGAGGGTTTGATCCCTGGGTGGCTCAGTGATAAAGAATCTGCCTGCCATGTGGGAAACCCAGATTCAATTCCTGGTTTGGGATCCCCTAGGAAAGAGAATGGCAACCACTTCAATATTCTTGCATGGAGAATCACATGGACAGAGGAGCCTGGAGGGCTACAGTCCATGGGGTCGCAAAGAGTTGGACACAACTGAGTGACTAACACTTTCACTTCACTGTCTTTCAGGGAGCTAAGATCCAACATGCCTCATGGCCCCAAAACCAAAAGGTAAAACAGAAGCAACATTGTTCAGTTCAGTTCAGTCCTCAGTTGTGTCTGACTCTTTGCGACCCCATGGACTGCAGCACGCCAGGCTTCCCTGTCCATCACCAACTTCTAGAGCCTATTCAAACTCACGTCCATCGAGTTGGTGATGCCATCCAACCATCTCATCCTCTGTTGTCCCCTCTTCCTCCCACCTTCAATCTTTCCCAGCACCAGGGTCTTTTCCAATGAGTTAACTCTTTGCAACAGGTGGCTGAAGTACTGGAGCTTCAGCTTTAGCATCAGTGCTTCTGGTGAATATTCAGGGTTGACTTCCTTTAGGATGGACTGGTTGGCTCTCCTTGCAGTCCAAGGGACTCTCAAGATTCTTCTCCAACACCACAGTTCAAAAGCAACATTGTAACAAATCCAATAAAGACTTTAAAAAGTGGTCCACATCAAAAAAAACTTAATAAATAAATGTAAGGTGACTGATCAGGTTTGTATTTTAAACCAATGATAGTAACTAGCTTCTTGTGATTGGGTTATAGAGAGAAAGTTTGGGATCCCCCCAAATTGCTCTTTTATTGCAGTTTATCACTTAAAAAGTGATATATTTGCATAAGTATAGTTTAGTGGATCCGTTTCAAATGTTTCAGAAAGTAAAGTTTTAGTATTTGAGTAGTTTGTTATATGAAATGGTGTGGATTTGACACTGGTTAATGACCTTCGGCTTTCTGTCCTTGTCTCACATCAGCTTGGTGATGTTC